AATCTCACTCTCTCCTTCTCCTTTCTCCTTAAAAACTACTACTTTTTCCTCCATATCTTTTTGTGTACAAACTATTGACTTGTATGTTATTGTTTTGTGTGAGATTTAGATTTAAGCTCTTTGGGGTGTGGACTTTAAGTATTTAATAAAACACTATGAGCACAATGACACACCATAAATAATAAATATTCCTAGAAGGGTTTAGAAATGAAAGGTGGTAATTCACAATCAGGTAAATTAATTTACCCTGAGGAACTGTAGGAAAATACCTCACTAAACATTACTAGATGCTCTTGACAAAGTTTTCTTAAAGGGAGATCGCCAAAGTAGATCTGATTTTGCAATAAAAGCCTGGAATTTGTCACTGTTTTGTGATACTATATATGGACACATCAGCTCCCCACAGAAATCAGGGAGTTTGTATTTTCCTTGTGTCTGTGTGTATGTATCTGCAATCAATATAATTGTTCAGAGAGGTGTGGGGGGGAGGATTTGGAACAAGAAGAGACACATTGTTTGTGGCTAACAAGTTAAACAAATCATTCTAAACCCATTATGTAAAGATTGTCCTATAATGCTTCCAAAGTCAGCGAGGCTTTGGATTATCTGGCATGTACGTGCAGGTCACACAAATTAAAATGTCTAGGGACAGCTTGACTTTGTGCTACCAACTCTGTCAGCTGTTTTCTAAATTTTTCTTTTGCAGATTTTTGCAATTTACTTATTTTATTCTGCATTCCCTTTTTATTCCTCCTCTTTAGAGTGTGGTCAAAAATCCACATAGGGAATATAGATGTGCATATTTAAATCTGAAAAGAGAGGAACATTTCACCCACCACTCTCCACTCTAAATTATATGGACATTAGAGATCCTTGGCCCCTGATCCAGCCATGTTGTGCTGCTCTCCAGTGGAAGGGGATTCTTCCATTACTATGGAATCCCCAGCTGGTGCGGAGCCTGTGCAGCTGCGTCTGTGCTACTTCCTCCCAACACTGGGGGAGTTATTTATTTTTCTGCCTAATTTGGTATTATTAAACATCCCTGTTTGAAATGTTAGTCTGCACAAATGCACTCATGCTTCTCACTGGACATACAGTTATCCCTTTGGACACATACTAATGTCCTCCTTTTCAAAATGTAGCCTTACAGTATGTCTACACTGCTCTACAAGACCTGCAGCACTGCCATGGCTGGCCCGGGTCAGCTGACTCGGGCTCAGGCTGTGGGGTTAAAAATTGCAGTGTAGACGTTTGGGCTCCAGCTGGAGCCCAGGCTCTGAAATCCTGTGAAGGGGGGTAGGCCTCAGGGAAGGGTATGTCTACACTGCAGTTAAAAACCTGCAGCTGGCCCATGCCAGCTGATGTGGGCTGCAGAGCTGTTTAATTCTGGCGTAGATGTTCTGGCTCAGGTTGTAGCCTGAGCTAGGGGACATTCCCACCTTGTAAGGTCCTAGAGCCAGGGCACCAGCCCAAGCGTCTACGAACTGCAGTTAAATAGCTTATTAGCCCAAGCCTGAGTCAGCTGACCCAGGCTCTGAGACTCAGTGCCAAGGGTTTTTTTATTGCTGTGTAGATGTAGCGTACCTTAGTTGAAAATATATGCACATGGTATAATATAACAACACCCTACAGCTCTTCAGCACTCAGTACATTGTATTTCAACAAAATGACACTAACTTGCATTTTACTAATCTGCAAACTTGTAATTCTCTCACTCACACAGAGTGTTCTTGTGTGCTCACCCACTTCTCAGCAAAGCCAGCAGGAATGTTTTAGATCACTAATACTTTGTACTCTTATACACAATACACTACAGAACATTCATACACTATGAAGCATTATCCTAAGTAATTAAAAATCAACACATAAATGAACAAAGTGGATGCTGAGATGAATTATTCTTGCTTTTTTATTGTTTGTTCACTCGCTGGCTAATTTGCAAAATTCAGTCATTCACAATGGGCCTTCCAGTCATTAGTGAAATGCTACTGTATTGCCCATAATCTGTAAGGATCAGACTTTCAAATTTTAATAAAATGCCTTAAATCCCACAAATGGATACTCCGCCTGACACCTATCCAGATAAATGTCTGTCTCATGTACCTAAATGTTGTTTTCATCATCCAAGTTCAGGATTCAGACATCCTATGAAAAAGCTCATATTTCAAAATGGCTTCACACAAGTTTTTTTTAGTGGTGATTACAGATTTAGGGCCCAATACTTCAAGATTTTGCATGCCCTCAACTGCTACTGAAGCACTTTGCAGAAATGGGCCCTTATGAAGCTAAATTAATCTCTGGTGATTTCAATGGAGTTACACCCAGGATAAATTTGATGAACTCCATCAAATCTAAGGGCTGGTCTACCCTGGGGGGTGGGTGGGGGGGGAAATCGATCTAAGATACGCAACTTCAGCTACGCGAATAGCGTAGCTGAAGTCGAAGTATCTAAGTTCGAATTACCGGGGGTCCACAC